CTTTTCAGGCGCAAAAAAAAAAAAAAAAAAAAAAAGTGATTATTTTAAAGGGGGTGATTCTTTTCAATAACCATATATATTTTTTCGTCTTTAAGTGCAATTAGCATTCATTTCTTAAATAAGGTGCATTCTCTATACTTGCAGTATTCCCAGTATTCAATAGGGGATTTTGCACTGGGTTCTATGAACTTAATTATAGGAACTAGTCACCAGGGCGGTTCCCCAAGAGCTAAATATTACCCTATAAGGACATTTATTTGTATAGTGCTTTATACAATACTGGTTGTGTCTCCAACTAAGCAAGCCAAAGGCGACAGTGGCAAGGAACCAAAACTCCATCGGTGACAGAAATGGAGAAAAAACCTTGGGAGAAACTAGGCTCAGTCGGGGGGCCAGTTCTCCTCTGGCCAGACGAAACCAGCATGGCATGGTTTAATTCCAGGCTGCAACACAGGTGCAGAGGACTCATCTGGTTCCCGTGGTCTTGTGCCAATGGTCGTCGAGGTGATGAGGTCTTCGCAGGGGCTCTGTCTCTGGGACGCATCTAGCTGACATGGTCTCCGCTGAAATTCAGGGCTGTAGAGGTCGTCTCTAGGTGCTGAATGATCCACCATCTGGTCTGGATATGGACAGGATCTGGGTGGCTACGGTGACCATCTGATCTGGATACAGACTGGATCCGTATGGCTACAGTGACCTCGGAATAAGAATGAAAGAGACTAATATTAGCATAGATGCTATTCTTCTTACGATGTAACGAGTACATCATATACATATATGTGACCCTGGACCACAAAAAGTGTCAATTTCTCGAAATTGAGATTTGTACATCATCTGAAAGCTGAATAAATAAGCTTTCCATTGATGTATGGTTTGTTAGGATGGGACAATATTTGGCCAAAATATTGGACAATATTTGAAAATCTGGAATCTGAGGGTGCAAAAAAATCTAAATACTGAGAAAATCACCTTTAAATGTAACCCAAATGAAGTTCTTAGCAATGCATATTACTAATCAAAAATTAAGTTTTGATATATTTACAGTAGGAATTTACAAAATATCTTCATGGAACATAATCTTTACTTAATGTCCTAATGGTTTTTGGCATAAAAGAAATATCAATAATTTTGACCCATACAATGTATTTTTGGCTATTGCTACAAATATACCCCAGCGACTTAAGACTGGTTTTGTACGGAGCCCCTAAAGGGACATGGTGGTGGAAAAAAATCAGATTGAGTGAAAAAATTTACCTCCATTATGTAGGACATTGGCCCTTCAGGAGCAGGTTTATACGGAGTCCCTAAAGGGACATGGTGGTGGAAAAAAATCAGATTGAGTGAAAAAATTTGGGGTGGGAAGAAAAAATATTTTTCAGATTTTTGCGTTCTCTCGCAAAACTTTTGCACCGAGGGAATGCAAAGTTTCTCGAGGGAACGCAAAAGTTTTGCGAGACAACGCAAAAAAAAAATTCCTCCCACCCCGAATATTTTTCCCACCACCATGTCCCTTTAGGGGCTCCGTAGTTTTGTGGTCCACGGTACATATGCAAGTAATTTATCATATATGAAAATTATTATATTCAGTGGCTTCTCCTACTTAGTGATATTTAGTGCCAGTTTATCAGGAAGTGACGATTTTTTGTTCTCTTTGACTCGTTGGATGGAAACAGTTATTATTTGCACATTTTATGCGATATTCCAATTTTGCGCATAAGTTAAATTCGTAACTTTGGATGGAAACCCGGCTAATGGCAACAGAAGCCCCTTATACTTGAGAGTGGCCATGCACGAGGTGTTTCTTGGAGGTTATAGTAGATTAAAGACTTTTACAGAATCCAGGTGACCTGTAAATGTAAAAAAAAAAAAAAAAACCTGTTTCCATTTCAGTTTTGTGAAATATTCCTTTTTCGAATTACCTGAAAAACCACCTCATGCGAGTGTTTAAAAAAAATATATATATATTTGGTGAGTTTTTGCAAAATTGACGTGTTTCCATTGGGCATATTTTGAATTTGCAATTTGAAGGGCAATGGAAACGCAGCTACAGGTAGGTGAGCTTGATCAGGGTTTGAGCTAAACTCTGCAGGGCAGTGGCTCTCCAAGACAGGATTTGCAGAACCCTGCATTAAAGCCATAACTAGATAGGCTTACAATAGAATATTATTAAATTAATTTTATGTTAGCCAACAGATAAAAACAGATGAATTCAGTTTTTTTGGTAATTTGTGTTCTGAATTTTAAATATCTAAGGCATTTCTGTAACTTTGTATTTACCATTTTAACTTTACATTTATCTTCTCATTTCTGACCTTTGTTCAAAGGTACAAGTTCAGCATGACTTGTCAGAGCAGCTCATGGTTCTGTCCATTTTATCATGCATTTGACAAATAAAATCTTGATACCACAGAAGATCACCTCAACAAAGAGTCTAAGCAATAATTGTAACAACTGATATGTGCTGATCCCAGGATTGCAACTTAAACTTATTTAAAGGATCCAATTATAAGACAATGCCTACTCAGTGAGTTTTGCCTGCTGTTGGAACAGTTGGAACATGGTGATGTGACAAAACAGGTAAAACTCACTGAACAGACACTGTCTTATCAGTGGGTCCTTTATTGACAATGAATGATGATAATGATTTTGACAACAAATTATAAAGGTTTTGTTTTATAACCATGTTTTAGTCATAATAGTCTCCTCCAGATCTAGTCTTTCTTTCTTTCTTTCTTTCTTTCTTTCTTTCTTTCTTATTTTATGTAATTGTGCATTGTGCACTTAGTTGGATTATCAAAAAGAACACTTCTTTTATCACAATAACCTGCAGCTGACCTACTGAGTCAGATTTATGTGTGGATGAAGCAACATTTTATATGTGGATGAAGCAATGTTTAAAATGTACTGTGGAAAACATGTCCAAGTAAAATAAAAATATTTTACAAAAAATATAGTTGCAAGCAACAAGCTTGGGTGTCCGAACATGTGATTGCCCAAGTAGAAGATTAGGTGACCCAATTGTCCTATATATTATGTGTTTTTTTAATGCAGTCAGCAATGTTGAATCTCCACAGATAAGCTAGGCTTTGATGAAACAGCTTACATGCTAATCCACAAAAAAGTAAATAAATAAAAATGAAACAATAACAATAATAATAATAATAATAAGGGAAATCAAGAAATAGTCATTACACTGATGCAAGAGAAAAAAGTATTTGAGGATAGAAAACGTGGGTTTTGGGGGGAGAAAAAAAAATCAGACAGACCTAAAAAGGACCTAAGACACTATTTTTGTTCCATGTTGTGGTTCAGGGCTTCCATGTCCATACACTTTTAACAAAGAAAAATGGGTATGACACATCATCAGTCACCTATCTGTGTTGTTGTAATTTCTTTGATATACACTAGATGGCAGCAATTTACACATATCTGTATTAAAAGGAGAGAGAGAGAGAGAGAGAGCGAGAGAGAGAGAGAGAGAGAGAGAGAGAGAGAGAAAGAAAGAGAGAGAGAGAGAAGGACATGAGGGTGAGTAAAGAGTAAATGATGATAGAATTTTAATTTTGGGGTGAACTATCCTTTTAACACTTCTTCCAAAGGAAAAACGTGATATACAGAAATCAGAGCTTAAATATTTTTGTTATTTGTTATGGTAAATGGCTAATATTTATTAACAAAGTGTGTAGGCCTGTATTTATTTTTAGTAAAGGCTTTATCCTTACTTAAATGTTTATTTTTTATCATAAAAAAATAAACTAAGCCATATTTACTCCTGTAAAATAACTTTAAAATGATATATACTGACATGAGATGAACACTAAAATGTAAAAGCCGATTTGTTTCATATGAAGTGGGTCACTTTATGGTGTCCGGCATGTTAAGTTCACACGAGACTAATACCACATTTCGGTAACCCTCTTTTATTGGACAATTTTGCTCATGACTAACTGTTAATGGCAATGGCTGGTACAATAAAAACTTGCTGCATTCACTCCACTTGGTTTCAGTAAAGTTCAAATCAAATGCAATATTAGCCAACACAACATATACAAAAAGTATTGAGAGCACCATTAACAGACAGATTACTAGTACTTTCTAATGATAATAGCCAGGCTTGTCGTGTACATGGTGTACTTCAGAAAAAAAGCCAACTTTACAAAGACTTCATACAGACATGCAGGTCATTCTCAAACACTGCCCTTTGGAAGGATACATTTCTATTTGTGTTTCAGAATATGCAAACATGTATTTCTCAGTACTTGGAGCACTGCAGGGACATTTGCCTGTGTAGAATTGAGCTGCACCTGACAGAATTTACTGGGTTTTACATATGCAAATGTGCATTCACGGATAAGTGGTGTATCCCACAGATTCACAATGGGGTTTTACAGAAGAGTTGTGAACATAGTGAGGACGTGATTATCCATAACTTGGGGGGAAAAGAAGAAGAAGAACATAGAGGGCGAGAGATTTAAAACAAACGCTAGCGCATACAAGTCATGCAATATTCAAATAGTTTTCTTTCATTATATGTATCACATTACAACGTTAAATACCGCTTGGAAAATCTTTTCGAGGTGTTCGGGTTCTTTTCTGAAATCCACGTGGGCCCTCGCAGGGTTGCCTTAGTTCAGACTGTGAACCCGTCATCTGATAGTCCATGCCATCGTAACAGCCAAGACTTGAGCCCCTATTGGTCATCCTCACTTCCGTTACACTTTTAGGATCACCGCGCCACCTCGCGTCACTCTCCAGCGCTTTCGGGATCGGACGCGCATTCGTTCGTTCTTTAATTCATTTATTCCACAGTAGAGGAGCGAGCGGCCTCGATCGGTCTACAGTTTCCAGCTGTCCCGTATTGTTTTATGGAACTAGTAAATATGGTAAGGACCGCCATGTTCATTTGTAATACATGTTTTCGTGGGATTTTCTCATTGACGAGAAGATTAGAATCCCGGTGGATGCTGAGTGCATCTAGTACGTCTAGTACTAAATCACATCCGAACCTAAGAACACTCTACTTTTATTTCTCTACGTTTGTTATGCAAGTATTGTATGCATTTATATTTTGTCTATCTATGACTTAATTAACTTTATTCAGATTATGAACTGACTAGATCATCACTGCAGTTAAACTCTGTAAACTCATGCTGTAAAAATGTTTTGTCAGCTAAACTAACAAATTTGCTTTATGATGTTTTATTGTGTTTATTAACATCTAAATTGATTGGTTTTATTCAAGTTCATGTATAACGTGAAAAAAAACAGTGCATATGTATTTTTAATGTACTTTCTATATCAGAAATAACCCCTTAGTACATCATGTGTGAGTTATACAACTGTGAACACTCTTCTCATTGCTCATGCTGTGGCATTTCAGTTTAATTCTATACATTGTAACTGTTCATGCTCTGCAGAGGAAGCCAGGTTACAAAGGTTTGATGTCAGGGTAACCTGCCAATCCAAATGTCCTAAAAAACTCCACATGATCTTCATATATTACTTTGGCAGCTGTTTATAACTCCAATTACCTGTATATGAAGTGCTCATTTAAGGAGCATAAATATATTTAAAAGACATAATACAGTGTCACTTTATGAAAATACTGCGCATAGCTATATGATATTTACAGTATGATTAAAACACATTTTATATAGCACCCATATTGTGTACTGAAATTTCCACAGTATTAATGAGTTAAAAAATCCCTTGAATGATCCAACTGAAGGATAGAATCCAGCACTGAAACATAAACCTTGACAAGTCAAAATTTGAATCAACTGCATCAGGATGTGCAATGTACAGTGTGTGCACTGGTTTGACCTATATTATTATATTGTATGCAGGTTTTAGGTCTCTACACTACTTTTTGTGAAAAGTGTGAAATGCAGAAAGTTTCTGTGAGGGTTATGTTTTAGGGTAGAGTTAAGGCTAAGGGATAGAAAATATTATTAGCTCAGTATAAAAGTCATTATGCCTATGGAAAGTTTTCATACAGGTGTACCAACATATGTGTGTGTGTGTGTACAGGTAGAATTGCACTTATTAAGTTAGCTTGAGAAAGCCAACTTACTGAAATGCTACTTAAACTTGTAGTGATTATTAAGTTGGCTTGAGAAAGCTAACTTACTGAAATCCGTCTTAAACTTATTATTAGGTTGGCTTGAGAAAGCATCATGAAACGTGCTAGCATCATTCTTGTAACTTGATAATCATGCTAACAACATGCTAGTAACATGCTAATCATGCTAGAAATGTGCTAGCAACATGCAAGTAACACAAGCCAACATACTGTTATTCTATTTAAACTTCTTCTTCTTCTTCTTCTTATTATTATTATTATGTTGGCTTGGCACAAGCCAACATACTGTTATTCTATTTAAACTTCTTCTTCTTATTCTTCTTCTTCTTCTTCTTATTATTATGTTGGCTTGGCACAAGCCAACATACTGTTATTCTATTTAAACATTATTATTATTATGTTGGCTTGGCACAAGCCAACATACTGTTATTCTATTTAAACTTCTTATTATGTTGGCTTGGCACAAGCTACACAACATATCTGATTATTACTGGGTTCAGGGCTCATTAAGAATTACTGTCTGGCCAGAGAACAGTGTGAAAGACGAGAGAACTGTCACCGTACCGATCAGCGAGTGCAGTCTGTACTTGCTCACAACAACAGCATTTGGACTTGATTAGGAGCCTTTAAAAATAAAATATTCCAGCGGTTGCATACAATCCACCCATTAGAGCTAAATTCAGGTGTGTGTGAGCTGTTTTAGTGTGAAACTGAAAGCCTTGCGTCCGGTATCTGAGCTCGCTAGACTGCAGCGTCCTCATTAAACTTCTATTTTTGCACGTCTTGAAGCCTTGCGAATGCAAATACTCCAGCGAATTTATAGAATATAATTATAAGAACATATTAAAGAGCTGAGTTGAGTGCATGTGAGCTTTATTTATGTTTCAATGACATCAGCCTCGCGTCGCACTGACTTCTCAACGGACAAAAAGGCGTGACGTGACGTGACATGTGGCCAAGTATGGTTACCCATACTAGGAATTAGTGCTCTGCGTTTAACCCATTCTAAGTGCACACACACAGCAGTGAACACACACACACACCGTGAACACACACCCGGAGCAGTGGGCAGCCATTTATGCTGCGGCGCCCGGGGAGCAGTTGGGGGTTCGGTGCCTTGCTCAAGGGCACCTCAGTCGTGGTATTGAAGGTGGAAGAGTGTGCTGTACATTCACTCCCCCCACCTACAATCCCTGCCAGTACGAGACTCGAACCTGCAACCTTTGGGTTACGAGTCCAACTCGCTAACTATTAAGCCACAACTTCCCCCAAAAGGCTACAGAAACTACATCCTTTTCATGTCTTTTATAGGCTTCTACATTAAAACACTCCAGCGAATGAACACAATAAAATTAGAAGAATATATTATTGAGGTAAAATGAGTGCTTATGAGATCTTTTTTTGTCTAACTGCAGAGCAAGGCGTCGCAGCTCAGACGCTCGCGCTCCGGACCGCATTCATCCTCACTTCTCTCAATAAGAAAGACTTCTCTTAGACAAACAGACACGATTATTTCAAAATACATGATAGCTTGGCGAATATAATCGAAAATATTCGTTTATGTCTCACGTGAACATAAACTGTTGAGAAAAAAAATCGGAGGTGGATGGATGTGAACATTAAAGCGACCGCATTTACCGGCTGCTTTCTGTCTTCAGTGTTAATCCATAAAAACCAGAAAATCATTAGTTTGGCTTCTTTTATTTATTTATTTAGTTATTGCTCTAACAAGAATCAATATTTAATGAAACTATGCAATGCTATTTTAGAATTCTTCCATTTCTGCATCTAAACATCTACAAAACCTGCTCTGTTATAATATTGTTTGCAAATTGTTTATCGCGCAATTTAACTGATATCTACTTTTTTTTTTCATAATAAACTTGTTTGTTAGAATAGACAATTACAGCGGTCTATAATAAAAATTACCAGGGTTTGTACAAGCTGCTTAAAGAGCTTGAAGTAGCCTACTTGTCTTTTACTTTTTGAAATGTAAATCCTAAAAAAAAAAAAAAACAAAACCTTGGAAACAGCCATATTTATGAAAAGGTGCTTGACCTATTGAAAAACAATATGAATGAAATTAGTGTTTAATTTTTAGTAATGACAATTTTTGTTGTCATAAAATCCTTCATTACAATGCAAACTAACAATTGTCTATATAACATATTATGAAAAAAAATAACTTGTACTTTTTTCATCATTATATTGTTTATATATTATAATTGTAAAAAAAAAACCATTTAACTTTTGTACTTTTTTCATCATTGTTTATATATTATAATTGTAAAAAAAAAAACAACATTTAACAAGTCACATAATAATCAATCATCACTGCTTAAAAATGTAAGTCGAAAATTAAACACTTAAAGCATGAAATAATATACAGAATCAGTAAATTCGAGTTTAATGTGGGTATATTATCAGTAAACTAAACATTAAAAATTTGTAATCTTTCAAGAAATATTGGCAATTTCATCTAACATCACTGCTTAAAAATGTAAGTCGAAAATTCAACTCTTAATGCATGAAATAAGATACAGAATCAGTAAATTCGAGTTTAATGTGGGTATATTATCAGTAAAGTAAAGATTAAACATTTGTAATCATTCAAGAAATATTGGCCATTTCATCTTAATGTTGTTCAGAGATGAAGGCCATAATGCTAATGTTGTCCACACGAGAGAGCCACAGGATAGCAAATCCTTCAAGATCTGTTCAAAGACTTAGAAAATGTTTAATTTAAGTAACTGAATAAAAATGCATATAAATTCATTATATTTTCAAAACCTTTAATAAAGCCCTATATTAAGAATGCAAAAACTGTAATCTCCTAAATACTGATAGACCATTATTTTTTAATCTTAATTTTAATGGTATTGACAATATTTTCTCAAGTTGTCAGACATTACTGAAAAAGTGAAGAAGGGACACTATATTAGTTATATATTTTCTTATTGTGCATATAATAGTACTCATAATTTAATTGAAACGAGACACGTCCATTGTGTAACTGCATCATCTACACAAACCATTGTGCTTGTACCCCTAATGATCGCCTTGAGTTAAACCGCATTGTTTCAGTTACCTTCTGTGTCGTTGCCCACAACGCTTCGGTGACAGGACTTTGAAATACCAAACAGGGAAAAAAATAAAAGGCATGACTTATTTCGCATCCAGCTAGCCAACTCTGTCAAAGATGTTGTCATAGCCTAGGCTTTGTATTAGAATAGAAAATAGCAAGGGTCCATAAAAAAATACTGTTGTACGTTTTTTTGCGGCGGGGCAGCTCAAGAACGCTGGACACACAAGTACTATGGCTCTTTTGCCAAGCCAACATCAAAGTTAGTTCACTAACTTTAGCTTCTAGTTATTTTTTTTTAACTTTTCAAACTTTTTTAAACTTTCGGGTCCGGCTTTCTCAAGCCAACTTAAAGTTTGTCTAGACGAACTTTTTTATATAGTTATTATTATTATTATTCTGATCCTAAATTATCAACTCTATCTCCTCTTAGAGCTTTAACTCTACAGACTCCAAACTCAGCCCAGCTCTTCAGACTGATCTGACCGAGTGTGCTATGTCTTTTCTAACTGATCGGACTTACGGTTCATAAAAATGAAGATTAAAAATCATAAAAATCCCATAGACTTACATTGAAAAGTCTTGGCTCATCTGAACATTCCGTCAAACTCCAACTGCCCGTTAGATTCAATCAGACTTCCCTTCTATGTACTATTTCGTATGTCATCTATCTTCAGTCTGATTCTATCTATCTATCTATTATTTTATCATTTTTTTTA